ACACACACACACACACACACACAAACTTTGTCGGGGCTGCTGCAGAGCGCAGTCGCAAAAACTATTTTCCTTTGTCGAGCAGCATTTTCATGAGGGGAGGGGCAGGGTGTGCTACCACACCCAACCCCTCTCCTTTTTCTTTTCCGACCCCTATTTTTGGACATGCGCCGCATCACGTGTGCCCACATGCATGCGCGTGTGGTGCGCACTGCACATACGGCCATGGCCCGCACATGATGCGCCACAGGTATGGCTGTTTGTGAATTTGCAAAAGGTGAAAACGATTCCCCCTTTTCTGTGTGTGTACACCACACCTACTTTTTCTGCACGTCACCGCACCACGCACACATTTGCAGCACACATGTACTCAGGATGCAAGCACGAACAAAATACGTATCAGTAGACGAGTGGAAAACCATACAATGGAACCACATAGAATAAGCATCATGATGTACTTGGACGCAAAGAGGACAATGATTCGATCATAGGTTACCCTGAGGTGATTAGAACCCAGTTCAAGGGTGAGAAGATTGGACAATTGAGATAGCCCTTCGATCGCTTGTATTTTGTTCTTCGCTGCATACAATTCTTTCAACGCCGGCGATACTTTCTCGATCCCCGCGAGCGTCTTGAGCTGATTGAAGGATACGTCTAGCAGCTCCAACTTCTCAAACTTGTCTAGAGGGGGTATGTGCTTCAATTGGTTATCGTGGAGTACCAACTCCCTTAATCCATACAACCCTGGATATCTAGCAAAAAAGTCGCAACAAGAAAGAGCATACACATCCAGCCATCAGATGCGCGACAAAGTCGACCATCTCAGACACACAAAGAGTCAGGCATTTTTAAAAAGAAAAGGAAAAAAAAGAGTCAGTCATACAACTGTGAAAGGGTAGGGGGGCTGCTGCTGCTCCTACCAGTGTCTTATCCAACAGATGGCTATTTTGGGCCTGTAGTGTAGGTGCCGGAAGGGGCTACTAAATTCTCGTTAGCAGATGCGACCATGACAGGAATCAAACGTTTGGAGGCCATCAAGGGTGACTCTCAAATTCGCTTTATGTCAAGTTTATGATAGATGAGAAAAAAATCCAGTGTGAAGAAAAAAATCCAGGGTGCAGCAAGCAGTTTAAAAATAAAAATTTGTCCTTTGGGACATCCGCTAAAATGGGAACTGTACAGAGAAGGGTAATTAGCATGGCCCCTGCACAATCAAGGATGACACGCATAAATCGAGAAATGGTCCAAATTAAATAAAAAATTTAGAAAAAAAATAAAAACAACAACAACAACAACAACAACAACAACAATTTGGATAGAGGCTTCGTTCAAAAACAACAACAACAATTTGGATAGTCTTCGTTCAAAAACAGGTATACCAATCTTTACTCAAAAAACTCTTTCGAAAATGAAGTTAAAATGCACAAAATCATTCAGCTTATGAAAACTCAACACATTGGTCAGCACGCAGCCTTATGGTAAGAAGGAAATGGGACACCGTGCCGGGGCCATACAGCAGGAGCGCATAAATCGTTTCAACTGTGTATAATACTGTATACGTGGCGGAATTCACACGTGCATGCATCATCCATCAGCTGTGCTTATCATCGAGTGCACTAATTCCCTAAGACCCGCCAGTACACGGCCCCAGCCTTGCAAGATTTCTTCATCACCTGCTCCTAAATTTTTGCAGGCTCAGGGGCCTACCAGACCACAATGGCTGGCGGCACCAGCCAAAAAAAAAAGAAGTGCGCAGCTGGTAGTTCAGCAAAGCTTGGCGCAAAATGTGGCATCACCCGGGCCCAGGCGTACTGGTGGTTTAAAACCCATACACTTTGAATATCTGGCAAAAGAGTCCTTCGGGACATCCGTTACACTTGGAACGATGCAGAGAAGATAGATTTGCACGGCCCCTGCGCAAGGATGAAACACATAAGTCGAGAGACCCGACAGATGTGCAAAGTCCGCTGCCAGCTAAGACACAAAAAGAGTCAGTTACGTGCAAGGATCGCAGGCATAAGTCGAAAGATCCAACAGATGTGCAAAGTCCCAGCAAAAACCCCATGCGGATGCATCCATCAGCCACTGTGCTTATCATGGAGTACATCAATTCTTGCTTTAAACCACCAGTACACCCAGGCCTGTTCCGTACGAGGCAGATTCCCCCTGAGGCGGATTCCCCCTGCGCGCCAAGCTTTTGCCTAAATGTCAGTGCGACGCCGTTGTTTTCGTTTTCGTTTTGGCTGGCACCGCCGGGCATTTTCATCCGGCAGCCCCGTGCCTCCCAAAATTTCAGATGAGGCTCAATTGCTACTCTTAAGTTGACTGCGGCCATGTACTCGTCGTTTAAACCGCCAGTACCTTTGCCAGGCAGCGTCGTCAAGAACCAGAAATGTAAAATTCCAAAGAATTTGGGTGAACAGCGCTAGCGGACGAAAATGGCTGGCAGCGCCAGCCATAAGAAAAAGAAAAGCCGCCGTGGCGTTTCGGCAAAGCTTGGCGCGCAGAGGGAATGTGCCGCGGCAAGAGGAGGCTCAGCGATAGTAGTGGTTCAAACCACAAGTTTGACTGAGGCGCTCCTTTCTTCAATCCTGACTTCTACTGCATGCAAAACAGAGATGAACAGAGGCATGCGCACATTTGTGTGAGTTTTTTTGCCTGGAGTCGCCAGCCGTTTCCGACCAGTAGGCCCGACCAGCGACGTCGTGCCGGGTTAACCACCGCGCCCGAACAAAATAGCTGGGAAACGTACTGTAACGGTGTAACCCATATAATTGTGGGTATTTGGCAAATGTCACAGGCCTATTTTTGGTTCACTGGGAGCTTTAGGCATATATGAGTGCGTCGATCACCTGTGCAGAGACGACCACGTATGACACACATATAGTCAGTCACATGTATATTGGGCCTCGCCCCACTAATCAACGCTCTAAATGCATCTGGATATCCACATGCTCCACGTTCATTCAAAATGTTGGATCAGACTGCATGCATGTGGGCTAAATGGCAGTTCAGATACACGTAAAAGTGTTTTGTCGTGGACCGAGTCCCATAGTCACAAAGAACTTCCCCATTAACCTTTAGAAAGCGGAAAGGGAGAAAAGGACAAGAATTGCTGCAGGGCTCAGACAGACTTCTGTCAGAGTTCCAACGAACTACAGTCACATAGCTGTCAACTAAAAGAGCAGACTTTTGGACCTCACTCCACTGCTCCCAAATGTGAAACAATGGAAAGATGCACCGCCATATTTTTGTCTTTTGCGCCTGTCGTGAGCAGTGGAGCAAGGCCCTTTATGAAACAAAGGGAGAAAATAGCAGACAGCACGAAACACACTGAAACCGCCCTTTTCGGCTTTCTCAGTGCAGTTCTTTTTTTCTTCCTTCTTCAGAGTCTGAAAAACTCACTCACTCCATATGAAAGCAGGAAATCATCCCCCTCCCCCCCCCCCCCCCCCCCCCCCCCCCCCCCCCCCCCCAAAAAAGCAGGAAAAGCAAAAATAATAAAAAAGGAGAGCACCCTTGCACAGACACAATAAGGACAAAGTTTGGGGCAAGGTTAACAGGCAGGGGTGAGAAGAAATGACCAGACGGATGAGTCTGCCAACAGAGTCTGCAGAGAGACAGAGGGACGGAAAGACAAAGGGAGGGGTGAGGGGGGGTGGGGGAGAGGAGTAGGCAGCAACACAGAGATAAGAGAATCTGAGCAGCTAGTCTGCACCGAGAGAGAGAGAGAGAGAGAGAGAGAGAGAGAGAGAGAGAGAGAG